TGCTGAGCCACCCGCCGGGCTGGGGCAGGTGGTGGCAGGGCTGAAGAGAGGGAGTGTGAAAAAGCATCAGCTTTTAAAACCAAGGGTTTGGCACCACGTGCACTTGGCTGCCGGGTGGTGGGGATGCTGTGGGTGGGTCTGTGTGTTCTGTCTTGTTCTATTTTTGCTCGCAATGTGTCATTTTGGGGGAGGTGAAACCTTTAACAATGCACCGTTGAGAAGCAGCCGATCTGTTTTCCACTCCTAGGAGCTGCACCGCACGGCTGCGCTGTCACCGGTACCAGAGCTGCTCCCCTCACGCGGGGTCAGACCCCTGACAGCAGCAAGACGGGACTGGGACCTGCTGAGAAGCGGTGGTGTCACCAGGAGTTGCTGCTTGAGCGAGGCTGCCCGGGGTAGAGCTGGCCCCAGCACGCAGGCTGGATGCCCGAGGGGCAAGCCGCACGCCGGGCCCCATATAGAGATTTCTGGGCATTTCTTATTCCGGGGTTTCCAGCTCCATGGGTTGGTGATGCACGATGAGTTGACAGATGTGGAAACGGTAACAGAGCAATCCTCTCTTCTGCGGACACTCGGCTGAACACATTTCCATTCTCAGAGCTGAGCAGCACCAGCATGAGCTCTGTAAAAGCAGCATCAAACGCAAACCAAGAGCAGGAACCAAACGACGAAGGATTTGGTTTAATGTTTTATATGAGGAGAAGTAGGGTAGCTCACCGAGTTCCTCTTTACCGAGGATTTTTGGTGCAAGAATGCAAAAGTTGAGGAATAGATAAAGCAGCATGGGAGCAGCTGTCCTTCAGCCGGATGCTGCAGGCTGAGTAGGAGCAGAAATGGGCAAGTGTCATAGGAAAGAGTTAATATGGTCCTAATCCCAATGGACTTTTTTTTCCTCTATAAAAAGAAGAAAATAAAAAAATCCCAAGGATTTTCAGAACTACTTAAGGAAACCGATCCTCTTAGCCTAGAGCACCTCAGTATCCGATGCAGGAGCCCTGCCCTCTCAGGAACCAGGCCAA